CCCTGGAGCAAAGGGTTTATTGATATGTCTGCCTCCTCTGTGAGCAGCCTGAGGACAAAGAGTCTGTCTTATTTCTCTCTGGTTCTCAAGGTTCTGGGGCAGGCCCCACCACATACCGTGGCCAGCCCAAGGAAGAAATGGAGGGGAGTATGACACCACATCAGACACTTACAGGACCAGGAAGACCAGAGGAAACGCCCCACTCCCCTCGTCTATTCTTGGCCTAAATGGCTTCTCTCATCTGGCCCCAGAATGGTCAGAGAGCCACTCCCAGTGGAAGCCACAGTTTGGGGTGGAAAACTTTCTTCCGCAGCTTCCCTGGGGCCAGGCCCCCTGGCCTCAGAGACTGCCTTAGTCTTATTTAAACTGCAGAACAGAGTCTGTGGGCAGCTTTGGCCAGACCTGGGTGGGGGCAGCCTGGATCAGGATCACACTGGAGCCTCCCTTCCCTGACTGCCAGGACCTCAGGGTTGAGATGTGTGGTTCCCTCTCAACAGCTTCCTGCTGTAAGGGCAAAGATCAAGTGGGTGAAGGTATGTGGCAGCCTGAGCCTGTATGTTTATGTTTCTTTTTTTAAAGATTTTATTTATTTATTTATTTGACAGAGAGAGAGATAGCAAGAGCAGGAACACAAGCAGGGGGAGTGGGACAGGGAGATGCAGGCTTCCTGCTGAGCAGGGAACCTGATGCGGGGATCAATCCCAGGACCCTGGGATCATGACCTGAGCCGAAGGCAGACGCTTAACGACTGAGCCACCCAGGCGCCCCTGTATGTTTATGTTTCTGCTTTAATATGGAGACTGGGCTTTGTCCTGAGTTGAGGCTGAGGTCCTCAGAGGCTCAGCCAGCAGGCTCCCAACCAGGATTGGCTAAAGCTGGAGGAGCCCTGCTTATCTCAACCATCTCTTCCAACTCACGAGGCTTCTTCAGAAAAGTTGATGGAGTGCTTGAAAGCCCCAGGATCTTTGCTTGACCTGCTCATCCCTATCTTGGGAGAGAGGACCCCAGGCTGCTGGCAGGGACTCTGCCATGGCAGGCAGCTCATGCTTTTCTTGGCATCTCAAAGGGCGCTGCCTTGGTGTGCCCACCACAGAAACCAGAGCCTGGAATAGAAACAGGGATACCTGGAAAAAGTCACCCAGGCTTCAACCCAGTGTGGGCTGTCCATGGTCAACAAATATTTACAGAGGGCCAGGCACAGCACTGGGTATGGGCACTACAGATGTGAACAAGCCCCAGCCCCGCCCTTGAGCAGTTCACTGAGCACAGGCTGCTATAGGAATACAGAAGAGGGGGCCTGCCCTAGCCTGGGTGAAGGTGAGTTCTGGGAAGGCTGCCTGGTGGAGGTGACATCTAAAGTAAGACTTGAAGAGGGCACCGGGGTGGCTCAGTCGGTTAAGCATCTGACTCTTGGTTTCGGCTCGGGTCATGGTCTCAGGGTTGTGAGACCGAGCCCCACATTGGGCTCTGTGCTCAGCAGGGAGTCTGCTTGAGATTCTCTCTCCTTCTCTTTCTGCCCCTCCCCTCAACCCCCCCCCCCAATATGAAATAAATGAAATTTTCAAGTAAGGCTTGAGGGCTGAATGAGTCCAATTGGGGAGGAAGAGTGAGAGCAAACAGCATATGCAAAGGCCCAAGGTCAGAGAGAACCTGGCACCTCTGGGGAAATTACCCGTAGTTCAAGATGGCTGCGGTCTGATGAAGGAGAGGTGGTTTGAAGGTCTGGATCATGAATAACATGAATGTATATCTTTTTTTTTTTTTTTAAGATTTCATTTATTTTTATTTGACACAGAGAGAGAGATAGTGAGAGAGAGAGCACAAGCAGGGGGAGCGGCAGGCAGAGGCAGAGGGAGAAGCAGGCTGCCCGCTGAGCAAGGAGCCTGATGTGGGGCTCGATCCCAGGACCCCGGGATCATGACCTGAGCCGAAGGCAGCCGCTTAACCGACTGAGCCACCCAGGCGCCCCAACATGAATGTATATCAAGTGCTCGGCACAACCATACTAAATGTTCTGCCAGGTAGCTCTCATTATAATTATGACCTTGTAAACCAAGTTAAGGGTTTTGGGACTTCATCCTGCAGTCAGTGGGGAGATAGTCAAGGGTTTTAAGCCCAGGGTGACTTGATCAGATTTGCCATATGACCAGATTTAAAGAGATCTCTGTGACTGCAGGGGAGATCATGGACTAGGAGAGAAGCAAGGCTGGAGGACAGGAAGAGCAGTTTGGAGACTGGTCTTATTATTCACTCATTCATTCATTCAAATATTTACATAATTAATCAATGGATTAACTCATTATTTATTTAAATATAATTATTTTGTTATTAATTACTATTATCTATAATAATTCAGAAAGGACGTATGGGGTGGGGGGGCTTCAAATATCTCCTAACAGGTGACTAGATAAATATGCATTGGAAGGGCACCTGGGTGGCTCAGTTAGTTAAGCGACTGCCTTCGGCTCAGGTCATGATCCTGGAGTCCCGGGATTGAGTCCCACATCGGGCTCCCTGCTCGGCAGGGAGCCTGCTTCTGCCTCTGACCCTCCCCCCTCTCATGTGCTCTCTCTCTCTCATTCTCTCTGTCTCAAATAAATAAATAAAATCTTTAAAAAAAAATATGCATTGGAAGACAGAATACAGCAATGAAAATGAACTCTAGCTACATGCAACAACATAAATGGATTTTGCAAGTGCAATGTGGAGCAAAAGAAGGCCAACGCAACATAGGACTGTATAATTCCATTTGTATACAGTTCAAGAAACAGGCAAAATGGAACTATAGTGTTTAGGGATACACACTTAGGTGGTAAAACTATACAAGCAAAGAAGTGATTATCGCAAAATTAGTGGTGATTACGCTGTGCTTGATGATACCTCGACCTGAGTGATGTTCACCTGGGTATTCGCTCTGTGACAGATCATGAAGGTTTACATTTCCGTTTTGTGCACTTTTCTGTATGTGTGCTATTCTTTTTAAGATTTTATTTATCTGGCAGAGAGAGACACAGTAAGAGGGGGAACACAAACAGGGGGAGTGGGAGAGGGAGAAGCAGGCTTCCCACCAAGCAGGGAGCCCGATGCGGGGATTGATCCCAGGACCCTGGGATCATGACCTGAGCCTAAGGCAGACACTTAACAACTGAGCCAGCCAGGCGCCCCTGTATGTGTGCTATTCTTAACAAGAAGGTTTCAAAAATAATGGGTCTTGCTCTATGGTAGTAGGAAAGGGGATGGAAAGAAGAGGCTGGTTTTGACTGTATGTGGAAAGCAAGGAGAAGGGAGATATGAGGAGTGCATTGGAAGGAACCAGTCTGGGGAGGCAGATGAAGGCGAAGAGCAGTGTTCATTTGACACTGTGAGTCTGAAGTGGAGCTGTCCGGGACCGCGGTGTGAGTTCAGGCAAGTCACTTTCCTAAAGTCCAGACTCCCTTCTCCACAAGAGAGGGAAGCAGTGTGGTTTCATGGAATTGGCTTTGGGTTTTGATGCTGGGAACCCTGGCCTCAAGACTCCAGTTCTAATACTTCATAGTACTTCGTACAATTACTTGACCCCTGACCCTTCCCCGCAGCCTCGGTTTGCCCATGGGTAGACTTGAGATAATCATTTCTACTCTCAGAGTTCTTGGAGAGGATTATATGGTAAAATAGGAATAGGCATTTGGGATGTGAGACTCTGAGCAGCAAATGAAATGATACTTTGAAAGCATAAAAGCAAGAACAGACAGCAATGACTATATGGTTTTTACACTCCAGTTTTAATAAGAACTAGCTGTGGAGCTTGCAAAACTGGGCAATCTGTAAGTCTAGAGTGACCATATAATTTATCGTCCAAACCAGGGCACTTCTGAGAAAGAAGACAGTATTAATAATTATGCCAGGACAGCAGCCATAAATCAAGACTGTCCCAGGGCGAGCAGAACATGTGGTCCCCTATGTAGGTCTGAGGTGGGGACCAGGCATCCGATTTCCTATTAAGCTTCCCGAGCGAACTGGATGCTCTGTGAGGACAGGATTGGCTTCACCTATGGTGCCTATATGGGGCAGGTTTATTTTTGGAGGGCTCAAAATCTACTTGGGGCAATCCTCATAACCCTGTGAGGCGATAATAGCTAACGTTTATTAAATGCCAGGTACCACATGTGCTGAGTACTTTACAGGCATCATCCCAGTTAATTCTCACCAAACCTTTATGAGGCAGGCGGACTTATCTTTCATTAGAGGAAACTAAAGCTTCAAGAGGTCCAACAACTCCCTCAAGGCCACACATCTAGGATGGAGGAGCAGGGCTCTAAACCTAGCCGGACTGATGAATACCCTAGTTCATACTATTGCCTCCGGTTTTGTTGACACGCCAACCCCACCCGGCTGCACGTTGGCCAGGTACCGCGGACGGCAGAGGCTGCTGCCCAGCTGGGGTACCTGCAGCCTCTGGCTCCGCTTGGGAAGCGCCAGGCCAACAAGCAGGTGGCAACCTCGTATTCCTCTGAGGCTACTACGGTTGAGAGGTCAGTTTACTAAGGCGGCCCGAGAGAGGTGGAGCTAGCGAGTCGGCCCGCCCCTACCCAAGAATCCTGCAGGGAGCCGGGCGTGGGGTACCTAGCAACTGCAGCTCCTGCTGGCCTAACTTTGGTGGCCGGTCTGAGCTCAGTGCGGCTTAGCACCGCAACTAGTAGCCATAGGTATGTCAGTGTTGGGAGAGCCTCTCTGATGCGTTTAGTTAATAATTTCCTAAATTTGCCAAAGCCCTTCATTATGTCTCCCACGGCTGTTTTGAGTTTCTTCTACTCAAGAACACTTGTAACTTATGTAGCCTCACAGTGGAAGAAGGTTCGATTTGCTTGCATCTTGGACATGGAAACTGGCTGGAAAACATTCTTGACAGCGGCCCAGAGAGGGAAAGCCACTGGACGTTTAAGTAGCAGAGCCCCGCCGGAGCTAGGACCCAGGTCCCTGCCACGCCCAGAGCAGCGTCACAACTCCGCCCCCGGCTCGGCGTCTTTGCCGAGCGCCCGCAGGTTCCCAGCCCGCCCCGCGCCCCCCGGTGCGCACTCTCAGTCCGGCCCAGGCGGTGCACCTCCCACCCAAGTCCTCCAACCCTGGCGGGTGTGCTCGCGGAGGGAAACTGAGGCAGGGAACGTGCCTGTGAGCTCGTTCCTTCCTCAGTCTACACCCCACAAGCCGCAAAGCTGCCGAGCCCTCCTGAGACCCGCATGGAACAGGGAAGAACAGGAGGAAGGGGAGGGGGCGCGAAAGCAAGCCGGGTCTGTGGAGTCAGCCGGTCCTGCCACACTCAAGATGGCGGCGCGGCAGCGGCGAGGTCCCTCAGAGGCGGTACCAGCGCATGCGCAGCGCGGAGTCCCGGCCCGGGACACAAGATGGCGGCAGCGGCGCTGGGGAGGGCGAGGCGGAGGCGGCAAAACGGGAGGTCGAGCAGAACGTGTAGCCGCGTCCCCTCGAGTCCGCTCCAGGCAGGTAAGAGCCCTAGGAAGCCATGGTCCCGCCGCGAGCCGCTCCGGGGTCCGAGGATCCGAAGCCGGGCAGCGGTGGCCCCTCTGGCGCTTTCCGCTCGGGGCCACCGCTTGCCCGGTCTCTGCCGCCGCCGCCATCTTAGGCCCGCGGGTGGGCGGCCGGGCCGGTAGCTTGGGTGAGGGAGCTGGGCCCGGAGAGCGCGGGCGGAGCGGCCTCTAGGGCCCCTCCGCTGCTGCCGCCGCCACCGCCTTTGTGTCGGGCTCCGACTCTGAGTCGCCTCAGCCCGGGGGCGGGAGCGCGCGGTGGGGCGGGGGGCGGAGCCCGAGAGATGGGCCGGCGCGCGCGCGCCAAACAGCCCGCCCCCGCTGGGTTTGGGGGGAGGGGAAGGTGTGCGCGCGCTCGGATGTGTGGGGGGGGGGGGGGGAGCCCCCTCCTTGAGAGGCCCCCGCGCCTGCGCATTTTGCCAGTCCTTTGACTCCGCCCTCCTGATTCAGAGGGTTCTGATTGGTGCGTTACTGAGATGGTCCCGCCTCATCTTTCTCCAATCACGTAACCAGGTTCTTTTCCTTCTGGTGGGTTCCTCCGGTTGCGCAGATACAGTTATTAAGCTGGTCGGCGCTGTCAGACTGCGGTATGCGCGGGGCCTGGGAAGCCTTTGGATAAATAAAACATTACCTTAATAATAGAGTTATTTCTTACTTCAAGTGTACAATACGCTAGACTCTACGTATAGAGACCACAGAGGTCGAATGATTACTGTTTGTAAGTCGGAAAGCGGTAGAAGGACTTGGACCCCGGGTCTGCCCAAACCCAGAGCCGGTTCTTTGGCCGCCGACCTGCCGCTTCCAAATCACTTGGGAAATTAAGAAAATTTTTTTAATCGTAAAAAATTGGTAAAGGTTTGAAGCGGTGTAAAATTTGTCATCCCGTTTCCCAGGCCTCCCTTTTGGGGTGTGTTTAAAAAATACAAATTCTTGTGAGATGAATCTCCCTTCCCCATTCCTGACTCCTAGGACGTGAAGTAAGGGACAGGAATCTGAATTGTTTTACAAGCCCTCGAGATGCACAGTTGGCTTTGAAAACACCGCAGTGTCCCCATTTGGCCTTTCAGCTGTGCTGTTCTTGCTGTCTCTGCGTAGTTCAGTTACTGCATCAGTGTCACACGATATTTGTTGGGGAAACTGTCAATAAAGATGAACATGCTGTGTTACATAATGCATTTGCATGTATGATTATTGTGGTTTTAAAAGATCGATTCAAAGAAGTGTGTTTTTCACTCACTGTGGGTGGCTTGGGAGCATGCCCCCGGGATCTGATACGTACAGTTGACCCATGAATAACATAGGGGTTAGGGGCACCGATCCTGGCACTGTTGGAAATCCCAGTAGAACTTTCGACTACCCACAACTTTACTAATAGCCTCTTGTTGACCAGAAGCCTTAGTGGTAACATAGGTAGTGGATGAACACGTGTATTGTATATCATGTGTATTATACAACGTACTCGTACAATAAAGTCAGCTAAGGAGGAGCACCTGTTACTAAGGAAATCATAAGGAAGTGTAAATACATTTATAGTAGCACATTGTATTGGGAAAACTGTGTAAGTGGACCCACACGGTTCAGACCTGTGTTGTTCAAGGGCCAAATGGTATGTTCACTTTTCTCTTGGCTTAGGGATATTTTGGTTGATAGGAGCAGCTACACAATTTGTGGGGTCCAGCGTGCAAAACGAAAACATGGGCTTGCTTATTAAAAGTGTATTGAAAACTTCAAGACCACAACCATAGAGCATGAAACCAGTTAGGGCCCTCCTCAGCACGGGGCCTGTGTGACTGCAGGCTGCAAGTCCGTGAAGGTGAACCTTTTGGTTTGCAACGCTTGGGAAGTATCATTTTCGTCCCATAAATCCCCAGATCTCCCACAGTGTCCCCTGCCCTGTCCTGGGGGCTCCCAACTTGCTCTGTGTCGTTGCCCCTCTTGCTGTTGTGCGTGTGCTGCAGCATTTCACAGGTCTGTGACTCTCTCTTCTCTTTGCTCTGCAGTTGCTGATGCAAGGAATTCCCTGGGCCCCCGTCCACTCCACTGCTGACCAGCCCACCCACCCGTGCTGAGCCTTCCTGCAGGCCTTCCCCCTGCCTCTGGGATCCTGTGACGTGGGGGTCCATCCGGTCGGAGAAGAAAACCCTCTCATGCTAGCATTGCAGACCCCAGAGGGTGAGAAAAAGAGGGACCTTTTGCAGGCTTAAGACATATGGGCTCAGCCCCAAGGCACCGGGAATCCCTCCTCCCCAGAGAATCAAGCCTTTTCTCCCCTCGGTTAGTGGTTCTCAATCTTTCTGTTATCACGGCCCCCTTTGGTTGTATGTATGCCCTCTTGCTCTGTGCGTTTTTACTGCCAAACTGTACCGACGAAATAATCGCTCACTTTTCCCTTTCCAAATTAATGAAGATATCTCTGACTGTACAAATAAAATTAATGTCCCAGTGATTCCTATGATGTTGTCAACAGCCAATCAGAGCTTCTGATCATCATGAGATAATCAGTGTGACCACAACGAGTTGATAAAATTTCAGCAAGCAAAGATAACTGATGTTTCAACATGCCTTTGTGCTCTTTTTGTGGGTAAATGTTTGATTTCTTTGGGTGCTGTGACATCTTGAGAACAACTTTGGGATCACCAGTCGAATCTCGGTTGGGCCCCTAGGAGTCTAACAGCCAGGTCAGGAATCACTGGCCATTGAGGCTTGTGCTGGATGTGCTTTGGGTGGGGGTCGTGGAGAATACAAATCTGAAGGAGCTGACCTGCTTCCTGGTATTTAAAGTACATTTCACCTGGGGATTAGGGAGGACTGAATTAGGTATTTCTTCTCAGTCCCACTGGTTTCTTTAGCAACAGATTGTTTCCTGCCCTGAAGCACAGAATGAGGCAGCCACTTAGATGCCATGTCCCCTCTGGGCTGCACTCTGTTCCAGTTAGATTTTATTGGGTAGGAACAGGAAAGAGGTCCTCCTGTTCTTTTTTGTGGGAATCGCTTCTCAAGGGCAGACCCTGTTCTGTGTTCTGTGCCACTCTGTGCTTTCTAAATATTTGCAGAATGAATAGAGTTCCTATTGGGTCCAGGTACCCTGCTGAGCACTGGAGAGATGAACTGGACCCAGTTCCTAGCCCTGGGAGTTCTGACCGTCTGACGGGTAGACAAACCCAGCTGATAGGACTGAGTGCCACAGTGGAAGTGTTCATGGCCCCACGGAGGGGGGTTGGGTGGAGAGTCCAGGAACGCTTCCTGGAGCATGTGAACATCGTGACAAGCCAGGCGGAGAATTGGGGAGAGTATGTCAGGCAGAAGGAGCAACATTTTGCAGTTGAGGGAACTGGGACTTAGATCCCAGGGCTCCTTTGGTACCACACTGGCCCTCCAGGGACCGGACTGGATTGATTTCTTCATGTCTGCAAGTGGTCAATGGAGCCCTCAGTGGATTGTAATTGGTGGGTGAGGGGTGGAGCTGACCTCCATGCCCTGCTGGCCTGATACCCTTCGGTCCTCTGTGTGGCAGGTCCGGTGTGGGTGCTGAGATGGCCAATGAGAATCACGGCAGCCCCCGGGAAGAAGCGTCCCTGCTGAGTCACTCCCCAGGCACCTCCAATCAGAGCCAGCCCTGTTCTCCAAAGCCCATCCGCCTGGTGCAGGACCTCCCAGGTACTGGCGAGGGGCAGGGTAGGGTGGCGGGGTAGGAAGGATGCCTCAGGAGCAGCCCTGACCCTGGCTGGGCTCCATGCTTGTTTGCAGAGGAGCTGGTGCATGCCGGTTGGGAGAAGTGCTGGAGCCGGAGGGAGAACCGTCCCTACTACTTCAACCGATTCACCAACCAGTCCCTGTGGGAGATGCCTGTGCTGGGCCAGCATGACGTGATTGTGAGTGCCAGCCCAGGGCAGGGCTCCCGAGCAGCTTCTAGCATCTGGGCCTTCCCCAAATCTATCTTGAGCAGCTGTTATGTGCCTAGCCCCATCTTGGGACCTGGGGATACAATGACACACAGACACACTCCCTGCCCTCATGGAACCTACACTCATATAGGGGAGATTGACACGTAAAGAGATGATTGTAATGTGTGTGATGCTGAACTTGAACTCCATGTTGGGCACTGTGCCTGTGATGCAGTTATAAGCAAGACGGACCTGGTCCTGCCCTTGCACTTTCAGGGGGCCCACAGTCTACTGAGGAGCCAGTAGGATCGAAGTGTGGCATGTGCATGAAGTCACGGGGTGGGGAGGGGACAGGGAATGCTTCTCCTTGAATTAGCACTTAAGGTGACAAAGTTAGTGAAGTGAAAGTTGTCAGAGGGGAGAAGCACGTTCTAGGAATGGCAGTGTCCATGTGAGGGGGCCGTCTGGCAGGAACGTGTGCTTTTGGATCCCTATCAGGTGGGGCAGACTTTCCTTACTGGGCATAATCAAGCCAGTTGGCAGCCCCATTTTGCAGATGAAAACACTGAGGGTCAGAGATGGGAAATAACTGGCCCAAGACCTCGAGCCAGTAAGAAGCAGAGCTGGACTCGAACCTGATGTGATTTTAGGGCTACCCTGCCTACCATCACTCATACTCGGGATCACCAAAGGAATTTCATCCATGGGGTCTTGCTCTTTAAAAAAAAAGCATTTCTTGAGTTTTTCCCTTTATTCCTCTCATTCTCGTGTTTAAGGAGGAGAAATTAACATGTACAGCGGGTTCTTCTCCTGCCACATGTCCTATTAAACTGGTCATATTGATGGACTCATTGAATCATCTTCCCAACAGGAGGTTGGGCCTGTTTAGCATGGCCATTTTGAAGGTGAGGGAATTAGGAAGGGACGTAACTCTCCCAAGGTCACACAGTTTCAAGAGGCAGGCAGGGGTGGAGCCTAGTGTTCTTTCTGCATCTCAGCCCCCTTTGCTCTTCTCGGAGCAGTAGGAGCAGGGGGCAGGAGGGCATCAGGATTCTGTAATACTGGGACTCCTAAGGCACTGGCCCCCGTTGCAACTCTGCTGGTCTCCCTCCACCAGTCGGACCCTTTGGGGCTGAATGCGACCCCACTGCCCCAAGACTCAAGCTTGGTGGAAACCCCCCCGGCTGAGAACAAGCCCCGAAAGCGGCAGCTCTCGGAAGAGCAGCCAAGCGGCAATGGTGTAAAGAAGCCCAAGGTGAGCGTCTGCGGGCTGTGAGGACGTGGGTGGTGAGCGGCCGCCGCAAGCAGGCAGCCGGCAGGTTCCCTGCGAGGGCTGGGCAGCGGCAGGTCGGTCAGGAGGGGGCCTGGGACACAGCTCGCGAGCTGCGCCAGAGCAGTAGCCGCAGGCCAGCTCTCCTGACCCTGGTGCCTTCTACTTTTTTGCTCTAGATTGAAATCCCCGTGACACCCACAGGCCCATCAGTGCCTAGCTCCCCCAGTATCCCAGGAACCCCAACGCTGAAGATGTGGGGGACATCCCCCGAAGATAAACAGCAGGCAGCTTTCCTCCGACCCACCGAGTGAGTCCCTGCTGATTGGTTTGGGGGCATCCATCGTCCATGCGTGCCTGGGACCATGGGGTGTGGTGGCAGGGCACCCCTCCTCCCTTGCCTCTACTTTCCTCTTTGCTCCTTTCCGTGCCCCAAGGGTGTACTGGGATCTGGACATCCAGACCAACGCTGTCATCAAGCACCGAGGGCCTTCAGAGGTGCTGCCCCCACACCCCGAGGTGGAGCTGCTTCGCTCCCAGCTCATCCTCAAGCTTCGGCAGCACTACCGGGAGCTGTGCCAGCAGCGAGAGGGTAACTGCCTCCTGGGCCTCAGGACCCTTGCTTCCGCCCACCCTTAGCCAAGAGCCGGGCTTGACCCGCTGGGCTTGGGAACGGCGCAGTGGAGCCTAGCGCTTGAGAGTGCAGGCTGTGGAGGGGACAGGCCTGCTGGAGCCGCAGCTCCGCTAACTGCTTACAGAAAGACTGGCATCAGTAACCGCAGACGCCATCATTAACACTTCCAGAATGCTTACTGTCTGTCAGGTACGTGCGAAGCCTTTTCGTGGCTCTGTGAGAGGGCATAGAACCAAAAGTACCTGCACCTCGTGCATTGCTGCCGGGAGGAGAGGTGGAATGGGAAGTCCTCAGTGAGCTGCGGCTTTTATTCTTTAGTATAAAGAAGCCTGCTTGACTTCGCTGAAATGTAGTGTTTCTCCTTTCCCCTATTCCCAAGCAACGTTTCGTAACACTCTGCAGAAAACTCGCGATTCTGAGTCTACCTGGGGAGATGTTGCCTGCAGGCGGAGCGCCCCTTACTGCTGCCCCTCCGGTGCCCGCATCCCCACCCCCCCCCGTGTGCTGGGCCCACGTGGAGGCCGCTGACCGAGCCAGGCTTTCACCAGCTCGTCTGTTCCGCAGGCATCGAGCCCCCTCGAGAATCTTTCAACCGCTGGATGCTGGAGCGCAAGGTCGTGGATAAAGGCTCTGACCCCCTGTTGCCAAGCAACTGTGAACCGGTCGTGTCACCTTCCATGTTTCGTGAAATCATGAATGACATTCCCATCAGGTACAGGCCCACAGCTGGGGCCGACTCGGTTGGTTGCGGGGGGCGGGTAGGTGTGTGTGGCCAGTCCTGTATAGAAGGGTTCTCACTCTGCCTGCTCTCGGTCCCAGGTTATCCCGAATCAAGTTCCGGGAGGAAGCCAAGCGTCTGCTCTTTAAATACGCAGAGGCCGCGAGGCGGCTCATTGAATCCAGGTTTGCTCTAGGCATAACCCAGCAGGCTGGGTGTGTGATCAGAGTGGGGAGGTCCTGGGCTCTCTGGCCCATCTCATGGAACTCGGTCATCGTTCTTGGTGGCAGGAGGGCCGGCTCCCAGAGAATGTCAGTGCAGGTGGGGTGGGAGGAGTAAGCGTGGAGCAGATGCCCGACCCCCGGCTCCATTATGTGCCCTCAACTGGCAGGAGTGCGTCCCCCGACAGCAGGAAGGTGGTCAAATGGAACGTGGAGGACACCTTCAGCTGGCTGCGGAAGGACCACTCAGCCTCCAAGGAGGACTACATGGTGAGTGGCCCCGGGTAAGGAGGCCAGTGGCAAGGCTCTGTGGCTCCTTCCTCCAGCTGCCTGCCTAGGCCGGGCAGGACCCCACAGCAGCCTGTTGTGTGGTTCAGCAGACCTTTGATGCTCATCAGTCCCCAAACCCCTGCATGTAGAGATGTTTGTCCAGGCTCCTGGCTCTGTCCTAAAGATGGTCTCCATTAAGGTTCTTTAATGGAATCCTGTGCTCGGCCACACACCATAAGTAGCTGCTTTTTCAACTTAATGATGTTGAACATCTCCCTTGAATAGATTTTTGGACACAGGTGGACAAACTGCCTTTTCTTGGGTGTGTGCGTTCGCCACAGTGAAGAACTGGCACCAGATTCAGTGCCTGCTTTACTGTGTCCGCAGCGATTCTGTTTTCTGGCCCAGATCCGCCACTACTTTAACTCTCCACCAGCACTAGCAATGGGCTTTCTTTTCAGGATCATTTTTCACAAGAGACAAGGTTTCGCACTTCACGATAGTAACTGTACTTGACACGTAGAGTGACAAAGGTAGGTGTACTCACTAGCCAGAGTGACTCATTTTCACTCATCACTTTCACACGTGTGATTCAGCAAAATTACAAATGCCTAGTTAAATCCTTGCCAGTTGCTAAAAGCTGAGATCTCAAATCTGCAATGACCAAGGACCCCTTTTTGTAATGGTCTCTTCTCCCTAGTAGATGGCAAATGCTTTATAAGCGGGGACTGTGCCTGCTTTGTCTGTTTCCCCAGCAATTCTCATGGGATCTGGCACAGTGTAACCCCCACTAGAGGTGCTGGCATTTATTGGACACTTGCTGTATGCCAGGGGCTTGGTTAAGCCCTCAATGGGAATGATCATATTTAATACTCAAACTGTCTTATCCGGTAAGTATTTTGTGTTCCCTTAACAGTTGAGGAGTAAGATTCAGAGATGCCAAGGGACTTGTCTAAGTGACACAGCTAGTTAAGTAGCCGTGTTTGAAAACAAGGACTGCTGGACGCCTCCAGCCCTCCCCCACCGGCGCCCCGGAGCCCTGATCGGGGGTGTCTCCTCCAGGACCGTCTGGAGCACCTGCGAAGGCAGTGCGGCCCCCATGTGTCCGCCGCGGCCAAGGACTCCGTGGAGGGCATCTGTAGTAAGATCTACCACATCTCCCTGGAGTATGTCAAGCGGATCCGTGAGAAGCACCTTGCCATCCTCAAAGAAAACAACATCCCAGGTAGGAAGCCAACGGCAGGGAGCCAGCTGTGAGGCCATCAACTCTGTTTCCTGGGCCCTGACGGAGGGGACAAGCGAGGCTGAGCCTCCAGGCTGCAGGCTGCTTTGGGGAAGTCTTGTTTCCCCCAGCAGTGTCTGGGGCAGGACCTGCTATCCTTGGGCTCGGGGATTCCAGCCCTCCTCTAGGAACTGGAGAAGAGCTGGGAAAGGGAGAGCCAGGTGGTGCAGACAGGCCGGGGGTCAGCAGTTGGGCGGACGTGCGTTGGCACCTGCTCTCTGCAAGCCCCCGTCTCCCCACACCGCGCTCTCGTGCCTGGCCACAGCTCATACATGTACTCGGGTAACTCTGAGCCAAGCTTGGCCCAGAGAGCTCCCTAAATAAGGTACCGCAGTCCCTAGGAGAGCTATGCAGCTCTCCTCCTCCTGTCTGACCAGCTGGGGGCCTGTGCCAGTCCCGAGCACGTCGACCCAGGCCACCAGCTCCTGCCCCTGCTGACTTCCTGGCTGTTAACGCCGTTACGAAACCGTCTGAGCTGCATTCTGTTCCTCTGTGGGACGAGACTCACATTACCCCGGTCGCTGGGACACACATAAGGCCCCAGCACGCAGTAAGCACTGCGAGTGAGCCGAGCCGAGGCAGGGTGGCCCCTCACTGCTCTCCCTACCCACAGAGGAGGTGGAGGCCCCAGGAGTGGAGCCCCGCCTGGTGTACTGCTACCCAGTGCGGCTGGCCGTGTCCGCGCCCCCTATGCCCAGCGTGGAGATGCATATGGAGAATAACGTGGTCTGCATCCGGTATAAGGGAGAGATGGTCAAGGTCAGCCGCAACTACTTCAGCAAGCTGGTAAGAGCTGGGGTGAAGGGAGAAGGCAGAAGGAGCCAGTGTCCGCAGCAGGTGGCCAGCGGGGAGGGAGGGAGGGAGCACTGTCGGAGGACCGCTCTCTGCCCCGCAGTGGCTGCTTTACCGCTACAGCTGCATTGACGACGCCGCCTTTGAGAGGTTCCTGCCCCGCGTCTGGTGTCTCCTCCGCCGGTACCAGGTATGGGCCTGGGGCAGCGGCGGGGGGGGGCGCTCCGCTGGAGGGGGACGGGGGGGGGGTGAGCCCCGGAGGCTGACGGCGGCCACTGTGCAGATGATGTTTGGCGTGGGCCTCTACGAGGGGACAGGCCTGCAGGGATCGCTGCCCGTGCACGTCTTTGAGGCCCTCCACCGGCTCTTCGGCGTCAGCTTTGAGTGCTTCGCCTCGCCGCTCAACTGCTACTTCCGCCAGTACTGCTCCGCCTTCCCGGACACGGACGGCTACTTTGGCTCCCGCGGGTGAGGGCCAGGGGCTGCTGGGCCCTTCTGTGCAGGCCCGATAGGGGCTCCTCTAGAGCAGAGATGCCACCTGGGCTGGCTACTTCCTAATGCTTTAGGGTTTTGGAATCGGGCGGTACTGGGTGTAGTCCCTGCCTTCACCCCTTGCTAGCTGTGTGACTTTGGACTGGTCGCTGTACTTGCGGGAGCCTGTGCTAGCCCCTGCCCTAGCCTGTGGGTTTCTCGGCGAGTTGCTCCAGGCACGGAGAGGCACGGGAAGTGGTAATCCACACTACCACGGGAGGGTGGAGGGCAGTGAGCACGGGTGAGAGGAGACAGGCCTGAGACAACAAGAGGGCTGGCTCAGCACCTGGGGACCTCCTGGCTGGGGCCTGTGCCGCGGTGAGTGCTGAGTCCGAACTGGGTTTGAGCACCAGCCCTTCCACTAAGTGGCTTGGTGGACCTGGCTGCCAAGCCTGAGCCTCTCCATCCTCAGCCCTTCAATGGGGTCGGCCACATCTTGTCCCAGGATGAAATTAGGGATGCGTGTTGGCCCAGGGCCCGACAAGGGCCCACCCCTTTGACAACGTGGGGTGCTTAGGATGCTCGACAACTTAGGATGCTCACCCACTTAGGATGCTCACCTCTGTCCCCAGGCCCTGTCTGGATTTCTCCCCGCTGAGTGGCTCCTTTGAGGCCAACCCTCCGTTCTGCGAGGAGCTCATGGATGCCATGGTCTCTCACTTTGAGGTGGGTGTGCTGCTGCAGGTGGGGGGTGGGGGTGGCAAGCAGGATTGCCAGCCACCTGGCGGGCAGCCTTTGATGTCCACCCCGTGCCCCCTCCCGTAGAAACTGCTCGAGAGCTCACCAGAGCCCCTGTCCTTCATCGTGTTCATCCCCGAGTGGCGAGAACCCCCCACGCCGGCGCTCACCCGCATGGAGCAGAGCCGCTTCAAACGCCACCAGCTGGTCCTGCCTGCCTTCGAGCACGAGTACCGCAGTGGCTCCCAGCACGTCTGCAAGAAGTGGGTGCCCGGGGAGGGCATGGGGGGGGCGGCAATCACGCCAGGCTGAGCCCCACCTTGAGCTGCTCCTTTGTTCACAGGGAAGAAATGCACTACAAGGCTGTCCACAACACGGCCGTGCTCTTCCTACAGAACGACCCTGGCTTTGCCAAGTGGGGGCCGACGCCAGAGCGGCTGCAGGAGCTGAGTACCGCCTACCGGCAGTCAGGGCGCAGCCACGGCTCTGGCTCCTCCGCTTCCTGCTCAGAGAACAAGGACCGGGACTCGGGTCGCGAACAGGGCCCTAGCCGCGAGCCTCACCCCACTTAACACATCCTGCGGGGAGGAGGAGCCCCAGGGCGCTGGTGTGGACTGCTGGGACTCAGGCCTCTTGGGGCTGAGCAGACCCCAGGACCCTCCCCCTGAGGTGGCAGCAGGACTCAGGCTGCCAGTGTCATAGGAAGATGATGCCTCTGCCAGGGCTCCCCCTCCCTGCCCGATCCCCCAACTCCTCACCTCAAACTCACTCCATCTCCCGTGTAAATAGGTCCCATCCCTTCCCCGTCCTCCCCCAATCCCTACTATCTTATCACCATCGTTTCATTTGTAAAAGGAAATACAGAAACCCCCCTAAGAATGCGTGAGGGTCTTGAGGGCCGAGAAGGCAGAGAACCTTGAGCTAGTCCTGGAACCACACCCTCTACATCCAGGCTCACCTTCTTATGACCCCTGGGCCTTCACACCCCAACGCAGGGCTCCAGTGTCTAACTTCTCGCCCTGCTGGCCCCACAACTGGATCTCTGGTGGTCTCTGTGTCTAGCAAGTCTGGAGTCCACAGCCCTGCATCATCTATCTGCAGGCCCCAGACTCCCACAGCCAGGCCTGCACTCCTACCCTCCAGGGAGCAGAGGACTGGGGGCTGTGCCCAGGCAGAGAGCAAGACTCCTGCTCGACCTAGAGCCGCCACAGTGAGGGGGCAGCCAGCTGGGGTTCACGGCCCAGGGTCAGTAGGAGGGGCGGCTCTGGGCCACCATGGACTTCAGGGTATAGTCTTCTACCCTGGCAGCTGGCTGTGCTGCCCTCTGAGGACCTCTAGGCCGGGAGCAGATGTTCTTCTGGGGTCCAGGAGAAGGGAGGGAGGTCTGAAGGTGCTCGGGGCAGGGGGGGGGTGGTTTCTTACCAGCTCAGCAATCTCTCCCAGTATCGGGCCTCTGCCCCACGGGCCTGCCCTGCCGTTGGGCCGCCACACTTTACAGAGGCAGGGTGGGCTGCACTGTGGGGCTAGGCAGCTCTCGTGAGCTGTATGCTCCTCCTTCCTTCCATTTCCCAAGTCCTTGCGGACAAAAGTAAGATGGTCAGGACTGGACTCTGGTCCCTTTATTGAGACTGAGGGGCCAGTGGGTCCAACCAAAAATAAATTTCTCTCCCCAAAGCCTGCCTGCAGGCTAGGGCACCCAGCATGTCCTGGCTGGGGCCCACGGTTGTCCCCTAAACCCAGCAGCACAGGTCTGGCTCTCTCAGAGTGACAGCATACCGGCTGCTCAGTGCCTGGAGACCCTAGGTGGAACAGGGACGTGAGTCCCAGCGGGTCCCCCCAACCCCCACCCCGGCTGGCCCCAACATCCACGGTCTGCGTTGGGCCCTCGGGGCTCAGTCATCAGTCAGGGTGATGACGTCGTACTCGATGCCCTGATGCTGCAGCTGTTGGATGTGTTCAGGCACCGCCTCTTCTGCACCAAACAGGCCCTGGGCTTGGGCCATGGCAGCATCAGCCACCGCTGCCAGGGGAGGGGAGAGGACAGTGAGCCATAGGCCCCAGAAGCTCGGCCTGGGTCCCCATGGTCATCAGGCTCCCGTCCCATACCTGTGACAGCTGAGTGTGCAGCGGCCTCCAGTTGGGCCTGTGTGACCAGCTGCTGGCCTGGGGACACAGGCACATACTGGATCTAGAGTGGAGAAGCCAATGAGATCTGGCCTTGGAGGGGCTGTGCCCCGGCTCCCTCTGATCCCCCCAAAGGTCCTACCTGGGACTCCTGAAGGAAAGGGGCCCCTTGTTCATACTGGATGTGTGTGATCTGGCCCTCCTGTACCTGGAGGGAGGAAGGCAACGTGACGACCAAGGAGGCTGTACGCCCCTGCCCTCAGTCCCCACTCCCGCTCAGGCCTGGCCTACCTGGATGTGATGGCCCTCTGGAACCACCACGTATTCCTGGGGAAGCAGGTGTTGGACTCCATCCTGGGAGATGATGTACTGTACCTGGAGAAGGGTGGAGGAAAGGCATGTGCTGAGACCTTGAACCGGGAGCTTAGCGAGGAAGACCGAGCAGGGGCCCAGGGACACCCAGCATGAATGATGGCAGCTGCAAGCACGGACCCGGGGACGGGTGGTTTGGAAAGTACTGTTCCTCCCCAAAGCAGGGCCTGGGGGCAGGCGGAGGCAGGGCAGTGCTGGCCCGGGTGCTCACTTGGTTGTCAGAGGTCACCAGATGCTGTACTGTCTGGCCGTCCGCGGTGGTGATCTCTTGGATGTAGGTGGCTTCTTCCTGCCAGGACCAAGCCAGCTCCAGCCTCGGCTCTGTGTCCCCACCCCGGCCTGTGACCTCCCAGCCCAGGCGCTCACCTGATTGGTCACGGTCTGCTCTTGGGCCACGATGATGTGCTCCTGGCCCAGTGCCTGCTGTAGCCGCTCTGGGCCTAGGACCCCGTGGCTGGACTGGAGAGCAGCTGGGCACAGAGGGGAGGGTGCTCACGCAGGGACTCGGGTGGAACCTGACAAGGCCCCAGCCCCCCACCCTGGTCCCCCAGGGGCAGCTCACTGTGCAGCGTGGCCAGCGTCTCCTCGTCACTGTTCAGGATGATGGTCTGGGTGGGGGTCCGGGCTGGGGTCCGGGCAGTCGGGGTCCCCGTCTTTCTCCCGTCAGGACTGTGCAGCCGCTGGATGTGGAACTTGAGGTGCCCGTTCCGGTTGAAACTGAGGAGAGGGGGAAAAGGCTCAGGGGCGGCCCCATCACGCATGCCCAGCAGCCCCCGCACGCCTGTCCTCCGCCTCACCGCTGCCCGCAGAGGTGGCACGCGAAGGGCTTCTCGTTGGTGTGCGTCAGCATGTGCCGCCGCAGGTCCTTCTTGTTCTTGGAGGCAAAGCTGCACTGGGTGCACTGGTGGGGCCGCAGGCTCGAGTGCTGCGCCATGTGCGCCTGGGGGGGGGGGCAGAGGCGGGGGCGCTGGCTGGGCGGGCACACAGCACCTCACGGACGGGGCTGTCTGGGAATCTGTCCACAGGGGGACGGGAGCTGCGCCGGTACAAACCAGACCGAGATCTGGTGCTGCCGTGTGCGGGGAGAGAACAAGTCCCGGGCCCCCGCCATTAGGTCACTTAGAAAATCCTGTCCCTGCTCCCAGACTCCGTTTACCCCGCGTAAACGCGAGATTCAGGTTCAGATGAGGGAACCTCTGAAGGGCTCTCCCAGCCCCGACGTTCTAGGGCTCCGGGTTCTGCTCCCGTCACCGAGCTGCTGTGAGGATTCTGGGTCTGCAAACGGTAATCCTTGGGGGAAGGACTCCCGTCCAGAACCTGCCCTCCTCACCTTCTCCACACTGTTTCCACCACCTTCCTCGTACCCTGCGCTCTCCCGCTTCCTTTTCCAACTTGCATTTCCCTAAGCACGCCTCCTGCCACCGCACCTGCGCCTCTGCCCCTCTGGGCCCGGGTCGGCCAGCACCAGCACCCCAAGCCCACACGGCCCGTTCCTGTCTGCTCTGCTGTCTGCACTCTGTTCACACCAGGGACACTGGGGCATCAGTCACCGTGTCTGGATGGTTCCCCACCAGACTGAGCGCTGAGACCTCACGGAATCCTTTGTGACCCTAGAAGGGGGAGAGGGCCTGGCTCGGGGTGCTCAGTTAAGGTCTGTTACACAAACAAGTGGCCGAATGAGTGTGAGGGGAGGCACGGGGGTGGCACCTACCCGGACCTCGGGCCACTGGCGGGCACTGAAGGGGCAGTCGGGGCACTTGAAGGCACTAGGCCCGGCGTGGGCCCGTTTGTGACTCTCCATCTCTGCTCGGCCAGGGAAGGCCTCAGCACAGATCTTGCAGGAAAACTTCTTGGAGGAGGCCGTGGCTGCGGACGGTGGCGACGGCGGCACTCCCAGGCTCAGGGCTTTGCTGGCCACAGGAGGTGGGGAGGCAGAGCCCTGCGGGTCTCCCACCCGGTGGGTCCTGGCTGGAGATGGGGGCTCAGGGCCATCTCTGGGCAGCCCCCCACACTGTAGTAGGGGCCACTTGGCTCCAGACGCCAGGGAATCCGGACTTGGGAAGGAGATGGAGCCATCTGCAGTCAGCTGTAGAGAGACGGGGGAGCGTGAGGTACTAGGGAGGGCTGGGGAAGGATGAGAAATGGGGGAGGGATTGGTACCCCAAGCCTCACCTCGATGTGGTGCAGCTGGGTCCCGTCGGCTGCCATGATGTAGTGGGTGCCAGCTTCTTTCAGGGTGTCGCTCACAACCACAGCCTGGGCTGCCTCCCCTGGGGGCTCCTCACTGTGAGCACCGAAGACGGGAGGAGTGAATTCTAGGAGGGGACAGAAGGCCAAAGGCGTCCCCTTCCCCAAGAAAGTCATCAACTGAGGGGGTGACTGCCACCACAGGTGGACTCCCTGGTCTGAATTCTAGCTGAACCTCAACTGTCTCTTCCGTAAACAGTGACCACAGGTCCAACGTATCGTCCTGCTCAACAGTAGTCATCCGGCTCCTCCGAAGGGCAGGGCGGCAGTGAGGCGGAGAGCCCCAGGGGTCCAGCCCAGGTCTGGCCAAGTGCGGCAGCAGGAGGGCCAGTGGGTGGGGGGCGGGGCAGGCCTGGCAAGTACCCAAAGACCAAGAGCAGATGGCAGACGCTGAGACTGGGCTGCCCGCCGGCTGCCCAGGGATCTGGATTCCTATCCCAGCCACACACTGTGGCGCTTCAGTGCTTGGATTAAGGGCTTTCTCAGACGGCCCCGGAGTTCAGGGAGCATACAAATATTTCTGCCCCGAACTTGCTCAGTGCAGAGGAAGCCGAGTGCAGCTGCCAGGCCTCCAGTGCCGGCGACGAGCCTGAGCTTGCCACGAAGCTCAGAATGGACAACCCCTCAGGATCATCCAGAACAAAGAGCACGTGACTTTAGAACCAAGGGGTCGACTCCTCGCTTACTGCCTCTCTGACCTCAGGCAAGTCACTCAATGTCCCTGGCCTATTTCCTCACTTGTAAACTGAGAGAAACGTGGATCTCACGGGAATGGTTTAGGTGAGATCCGAACGTCCAGTGCCTGGAACATCTAAGTGGGCAAAAATTAGTAGCTTCCAACCTCCTGAGAAAGATACGATTCCTATGGCTAATTATGTTACACGTATTAGGATTTTTGCCTCCTGCCCCTAGGCTCCGGTGGGCAGGGCCCTTATCTGAGGCCTCCCAGCATGCCGATCAATGACTAAAGGGGGCCTTGCAGGCAGCAGGTCTCACCTGTAAGGCGTGCCAGGAGCTGATGTCCCCTCCTCCATAGGGGGTGCCGTGAGGACGCTGTAGCCAGGCCCACCAAATGGACCAGGTGCCAGGGTGATCTGCTGCAGGTCAGGGGCGCCTAGCTGGCTCTCTGCTGCCACGC